AGAGAGAGAGAGAGAGAGAGAGAGAGAGAGAGAGAGAGAGAGAGAGAGAGAGAGAGAGAGATGGAGACTATCTTCGCACTTTGTGGGTGACTGATGCTTCCATATTTAAGTGTGATTTTCTTTAAACCTCCACTGCCTCTCTCCCAGCTATTTGTTTTTGCCTGAGCGTGTTAACTGGGAGCGGTTCAGGTGGCTCGGCCTACCGGACCAAATGCCTGCTATTGCCAGCCGAAAAAATTGCGCCCCCGCTGGTTCGATTTTTTTGCCTCTCGGCAGGAGAACCTGGTTCATGAAAAAGAGTCCCTGAGGTCGTGATGGAACGAAAAAACAAAAAAACAAAAACAACAAATGCAGCTTCTTACTGTCTGTGCCTTAGAGCACTGAACAGAACAGAACAGAAATCACCAATCAGGTGAGCGCTCAATTTTGCACGTCACACATGCACTTCCTTTCTTTGTCCTCTTTCATCCCCTGTTTTAATTTTCCATATTTTCCATATTCTGCGCACTGTTTCACTGCGTATTTGCCCTCTGCAGTACAATAATACCAGTCAATCGCATCTCATACCGCTCCTTTTCTCTACCGATCGCTACGACTCCCACTTCAGAAATTGTACTTGTCCTTAACCTCGACTGCTGCACATGGATTCCATAATTATGCTTCTGTCCATCGATTATTTGTCCCTCTTCATGTCACCAATGCACCACCTTTAAAAAAGCGCACTCGTAACATGCCAGCCTCTTCTTCCATGGACAATTTGTAATGAACCCATGTTCACAACAAGCATACAATCAAATCTCACTTGAATAACACACTGATCAACTCAATGGTAAGAAGCAAATTGAGACAGTATAGAAAGATAAGACTATGAGAAGAAGAAGATCAAAAGCATGGAGGAGTTATCTCAAGATGTATCAACGATTAATACATGATGTTCAAACTGCTTCCCCCCCTCTTCTTCCAGGGGAATCCTTCTCCCTACCTTACCTCAATGCGTGACCCATGTGATGCATCTCCCGACTCCCTCACCGGCAGTATGGACACTATGTCACTTGCCAAGTCAACCTCTCTACAGCGCTGGCTATCCCAGGCGAGCACAAAGAAGCTGAAACTTGAAATGACGATGTCAATCTTCTGCAGCAGCATGGTGTCTTCTTCCTCGAAATCATGACCACATTGCCACCCTGAGGCTATGGGGACCTTCTCTCTCATCCCGCGACGGCACTAGCACAAGTGCTGCACTCTCTGCATAAGCACAAGGCGAGCACAATGAAGCTGAAACTTGAAATGACAATGTCAATCTTCTGCGGCAGCATGGTGTCTTCTTCCTCGAAATCCTGACCACATTGCCACCGTGAAGCTATGAAAACCTTCTCTCTCATCCCTCGACCACACTTGCACAAGTGCTGCGCTCTCTGCATACCAGCACAGGGAGAAGCGGTTAACAGACCCCTAAATTTCAGGGGGTGTTCAGGGTCATTATAACAAACGTCTTGCACCTTTCAACCCAGACTTGTCACCAGTCCATATAGTGCACACCAAATAAACCAACGGCAAAAAAAAAAAAAAGAGTGAAAAAATGGATCAAAAGGGCCTTAAACCTCAAGGCAAAAGTGTGTTGTCATGCAAAATTCGCTCTTTTCAGTGTTCAGAAATTTTCAGGATTTTCAGGGCTGGCCAAAGCAGCCATCTCCAAGATCCCAACAAACACCAAATTAACCTGCCGCTGAAAAGTGGGGGTCCCTGTTAACTTCTTGTGAGCACAAGCACCAACAGGATGAAGTGCTGGATGATGGACGCTGGTCTCCCTCCTCTCTTGGAGTCTTCTTCCTCACGCATTAATCGCCGCCAGTCAACAGGTAAGCTTCCTACACCTTCTTGCCAACCCTTAGGCAATGGTTGCCTCTCATCCTTCCTATCTCCGACGCTGACCCTCCTCTTTATGGTGCCAGACAAGCTGTAATTCACAAAAGCTGTAGTTCACAACACCATCTTTGAGCCTTGGATGAAGAATGCGGAGCACATGGAACCACTGGTGTTCTCTGCAGCAATTATGGTTGAACACCTCGAGTTTGACTCACTCTGCAGGTAAGTTTCCTCTTCCCCCAAGCCTTGGACTCTACCTCAGATCTCCCCTCTCCTCTTTCTTGTAGCTATGGTGCATCTGCACCTTCTGCAGGCTATGGGTATGGCTATGGCTACCGCCCGCTCTCTCTCTCTCTCTTTCTCTCGCCATGGAAGCCTCTCACTCTCTCTGTCTGCCTTCTCTCACACTCACTGTAGCGCGTCACTGTAGCATGTGCACTGTAGCCGCGCACTGTAGCACGTGGACTGTATTCGTGCACTGTAGCGCTTGCACTGTGGTAGTGCAAGGCAGAATGAATCCATCAACTGGGGCAGACCACTCTTTTGTAGTGTTTGCTCGGCCTGGGCTGCCTCCATTTGCCCCCTTGAAAGGGCTGAGATTTCATGATCTGTGTGGCCCAGACTTGCTCGCGGCCAGTGTGTGCCTGGACCAAGTGGGCCTTGGGAACTTGTGGAAACTGCACTAAGCGTTTGGATTGTGTGAGATCTGTGGCCGTGGTTGACTCCTAGGAAATATTAGACTCTTGGATTTCTGTGCCCGGGTAGGGCTTGACTATTCCTAGGGCCTACTTTTGACTCCGGAGGCGTGGGGTGCCTCATTCTGCACCCAACACTTTGATCTGACCAGAGGTTTCGACCCCTGGCCATATCTGTATGGATTTCAGACCAGTTCCCAGAGACTTATCAAAGTCTGTAGGACTAACTGCTCACCCTTAAACGTTGATAGCTCAAAAGCTACGACCCTTAGGCTTTGGACCTCAGGTTCTAGCCCATCCTTTGACTCTGTAGGGGCCTTCATTCCAAAGGACTTTGACTGTGACACGGACCAGACCATATTCTGTAGAACCGAGGGCCATTCTGACGGACTCTTGGGATGCTACAGTCCTATTTCTCATGCCTAGCCTTGACTCAGATGTTGGATGCCATGAACAGGATGCAAAAGATGGCTGCAGTTTTGCAACACAAGAATCATACCTATGTCGATGACTGGAGTACTCTGGAGTCCGCACTGCTGGTCGATTACATACCCCACAGGCATATCAAGATGGCCGACCTCAACGGCTGCATAAACGCTGCAATGTCCCACATTGTTCTACAAAATGGCATGACCGTGGTCGCCAATGTGTTGCAAACTCAACGGACAACTTCCCGGCACCCTGCCATTGTCTCTGATGGTGAATGTGTGACTTTACAGACTGATGAGCGCCGGCTGTCCAATCCTACAGGTGACCTACACGGAAGAGAGTTGAAGGAAGGGCTGATCGCTTCCTGCCCCCTACCCCCATTGATTCTCCTCTAGCTGATTCCCTGCCAGCACCACAGGCTCCCTCAACTGGATCTGCTGCTACACCATCCCCTCTGCCTATTACCTCCCCTTCTTCTTCCTCCTCTTCCTCCCCTTTGTAATCGTCATCATCATCAACACATTCATATTCAGATCGGTCGTCACAGGTGCCTCTTCGACGCGGATGTTCCCCATCTCCACCGCCATCCCAGACAGTGGCCTCTTTTGTATATGAACAACGGTATCCTCTCCGCGCACTGGCCCCGACACCCTTAACAACGTTTTGAACAGCAGTATGATCATCA